CTCAGGATGCACCGCAACGGACACGTAGGAATAGGCAATGCAACATAATTTGGTTCAACGCACCATTCAGTAAGCTAGTGTCAACACGAACATAGGACGGAAATTCTTAAGTTTAATTGACAAACACTTTTCACTACAGCACAAACTACACCAGTGGCGGAAATCTTGGTGGGGCGAGGGGGCGGCCGCCCCCCACCTTCACAGAAAATTTACGAATTTTCGGAAATTTTGACCTAAAAGAGGGCTAAAGACAGTCTTTTCGAGTGCAAATGGGGGGGGGGGAGGTACGTCGGAAATTTGATGGTTTTGTCGGAAATTTAGTAGGCTTTGCCCCCCACCGGAAAAAGTGAATTTCCGCCACTGAACTACACATGATTTTCAACAGAAACATATATGACTTTAAAAGTAAGCTATGATTGCATGAACAACGTCAAGTCTATAATCACCAAACATATAACGCACATATAATTAGGAACAGCCAACCACAGAACACGGAAACTGACAACTGTAACTGCAACAACAAAAACACTTGATGCCCACTACTGAAACAATGTATGACCAACAACATTATTTACAAAGCCACAGTCACAACGAACAACACGAACGACACTGAACACTACATTGGTATGACAGCGACTACATTTAAGGAAAGTTACGCTAACCACACTTCATCTTTTCGACTCAAACAAAACGGAACTTTCGAAACATATTTGGAAATTAAAAGAAAACAAGCAGGATTATAGCATCAAATGGTCAATTTTAAACACGCTGTTTCGTACACAGGGGGATCAAAACGCTGCAATTTATGTTTGGAAGAAAAATTTTGCATTTTGAAAGACATAAACAAAGGCAAATACTCAATAAAATTAAGACTGAAGCGAAATTTTCTGCATGTGTCGTCATAAAAACTGGTTTCGAGTAAACAAGGTCGTTAACAAAATTAATGACCCAAGCATTGTTTCGCCTTAACACTGTTTCGCCTAAGCATTAAGAGGAGATTGTTTTGTATGTTAAGTAACACGCGCTCAAAACTAATGCGTGTAATATACCACTTGGGGTTATGACTAAATTCAAAATTTTTATTTTTCGATACGTTTCTCAATCGGCAGACAAACTTAAAAAGTATGTTTAGTGCTTTATCTGTAAAATAATGCTGAAATGAAGAGATTTTAGATGATACGCCAAGGAGAAAATGATGTCTGAAGTTCAGTAAGTTTTGCAATATATGGCTGTAAATATGGCGTCAATTTTAAAGCATCTTTGATAATTGTATTTTAATTGACAATTTTTAACTATTATTTTATGTTTCTCAACCGGCAGATGCATTAAAAAGGTTGCTAACTCTATAAACTAGAGGATAAAGTTAAAACAAAGTAATCACCTGGCAAAAAGCCATTTATATAAGTTAATCGTTAACGTTTCGACTTTATTGTCTTCATCAAAGTAAAATCGTTTACACAAACCCCTACTTTTATACCCTACCAGATGAGCATAATTATTCATACACCTCAGAATCCTGTTCAATGTTCAACCCCGAAGGGTACATTGTCATATTAAGTCTATTACTCTAATACGTTTCCCTAATTGTTGGTTCTGCTGGATTGGTTTTGTCAGTTATGACTATATCACAATCATTCATTAAGCCATTATGTTTTTCGCCTAAGAAATGTGAATGAAAAAAGGCTTGGGTTTGAGCTTTGTTGGACATTGCTTTCCTTTGGCAAGATTTATAATTATTCCATCGAAAATATTTATATATATATATATATATATATATATATATATATATATATATATATATATATATATATATATATAAATTAAGGTACAACAATCAACAAAATCCACTAGCCATCTTTATTACTAAATAGTTTCGTACCACAAAATGTGGCACTCTTCAGATAAATTGACCTAAGGTCAATTAGGTCATTTAGGTCAATTTATCTGAAGAGTGCCACATTTTGTGGTACGAAACTATTTAGTAATAAAGATGCCAAGTGGATTTTGTTGATTGTTGTACCTTAATTACCGTGTAATCGTTTTGGCTCTGCATCAGTATAGTCACATTTGTCATTCGCCGCGTCGTTCGTGGCCTAGTATAAATTAATTAGTTTTAACTCTTAGAATGGACTATTTAACTTTCGTTTGAAAACGATACCTTTTACATTTTACTCCAGATATAAACGAATGTTCATCTGGAACACACAATTGTCATTCAGACGCGATCTGCATCAACTCTAAAGGATCATTTAGCTGTATTTGTAAACATGGATATCAAGGAAATGGTTCTCATTGCGAAGGTATGAAGTACATTTTCTTTCCTATGGCAATGTGTGATTTCCATCGCTAAACAGTTCTGGGTTATTTGTATTTTTTTTCCTAACTTACTGACAGACACGGACTCAGAAAATTTCTGAGTGTGAACATGCTCAATTCTTAGCTACTTTACAAGACCAGTTCACATTACTCAACGATCTTCCTTTGTCTTCTGACAACTCTTCTCCTATTGAAAACCTTGTTTTCAATAGCTACAGAATACTTCACATTATACCAAATCTAACAACTACAACATTCTTGCTTTTCTTGAAGCACCGCTTATAAAACATAACAAACCTTTTCTTAACACTGGATTAAAGCTAGTACCGCAACTACAACTGTTCACATAACACTTTAACTTAATCTTCTTCTATTCTTGTCGGGTCTTTCCTTTCTACCTATTTCTTTTAATATATGAAACATTGTTGTAAATATAGCTAAATAATCCATTTTCAGTTTTTACTAATTTCTTTCTCATGTTAATTTCGATTCGCTTGGTTAATCCTTCTTTCCGCCCACATGACAGATGCTCTCTCTCTGCGTTGTATATATATATATATATATATATATATATATATATATATATATATATATATATATATATATATATATATATATATATATATAA